CTGGAGGAAGTGTCTGGAGAGAGGGAAGTCTGGGCATCTTTGCTTAGACTGCTGCCCCCGCGACCCGGTCCCGGATAAGCGGAAGAAAATGGATGGATGGATGGATGGAACTTACCAACTGAAATATATACTTCCTGAATGCTACTTGCCACCATATTCCCTGTATAATGTTAAGTTTGTCACCTAAACTCAAAAGGCTTAATATACACAGAAGGAGCGACAACTACTACATGTTTGATTCGATGTGTGAAGTCGTTTCAAACCTAATGTTCCTCAGTACAAAGGCTGTCAGCGGATCTGCCTGAAATCTCAGTGAACTTACCAATCTTCTTGCAATGCTCCTCTCCTCTGTTGTGCATGATGATTGGCGAGTAGATGAAGGGGCTGGCAGAGGACACATTCTGTCCCAGCAGGCCTTTCACTTTGTGGGGGCGCAGACTGACGGGCAGATTGAGGAGCTTCATCGATCTGGTTTACGCATCATGGGGGAAAACACAACAATGTTGGGATATTATTTCATTTTAAACATGCGTTTAAAAATCAACTGACCACAAAAAAGGATCTCACAGTCATTTCAAGAAAAATATCGCTGATGTTTTCATGTGTACTGTGTATAGTAGGATTGCTGGTGCAGCCTATAGAGTATAGTCCCAGTGTTTGTGATGAATATTCATAACTATTGCAGTACGTTGCAAGTGATTTATAATACTATTCATTGTTGAAAGTAAGCAAACCAATAAAATCAAAAGGGCAGGCACTTGAACAAAAGTGTATACTGAACACTTTCAGGGGCCAGTAGATGTTAATGCATTCTCAGATACGTTGTCAGTGTAATGTAGTAGATGAAGATTCCTACACATCAGAACCCACAGTTATGCTGTTCATTAATACATCAAGCATTTCACATTATGATAAAAGCTTTTATGCTCCAGCGCTGGTGACTTCTATAACCACGGGGTCAAAGGCACCTACTTAAGCAAAAGTTATCTTTTTTTTTTTTAAGCTACTTAATTGGCAACACCAGATCTCTCTCTGTTTATTTCCAGCTCTATAGCACTACTGTTTCCACAACAGCATAATAACCGTGGTACTGTATGTGCAAACGACCTATTTACTCCTTTGTGGTCAAACAATCCTCCTGTTTTCATGTGCTACTTGTACATTTGAGTTTGCAAGTCTTATTCAGAAATTGCAAAAGTGTTTTTGCAATACTGGTTTTCACTGTGGAACAATTCTGAAGTCTGTAAATGTAAAATAACTGATGCTGTTTCTTGAGGCAGTTCTGTCGTGCTTTAAGATGAATTTTGCTGTCATATAACTTACCTATAAAAACCAGGGAACTTTTTTTTTTTTTACTTTTACAAATTTTTACTATGTTTTATTAAATGGCACCATCTTAAGGCGTTCACAACTGGCCACTATTGTGATGCACACTGAAAACAAATAATGAAAACTACGTTAACACTTTGCATTAAGGTTACAAACTATATACTTAATTCTGATTCCTGAATTTGATTTGATTTTAGTCTTAGTTTTTTTTTTGACGAGGATGCATATTAGTTTAAGTCAAATTTAATTCTTTTGATCTTTGTTAGATTTAGTCAATATAAACTAAATAAATTTTAGTCTAGTTGTCTACATTTTTAATATTTACCGTAGGCCATCTCTTCTTCATCCTGGTTGTATACAGTTACCATGGGTACACGTTGTTCACGACTATCCTGGAAAACAGTTTTTTATTCACACAGTGTGTCTCTGCTTTGCAGAAGTTGCACTCGTGCACATTTGTACTAAAATCCTCTTCAGTTTGTTAAGAGGTGATGCAAAATTGTCAGATAACATTAAAATAGTGAGATCTCTGCAGCGGACAATTACAGAGCTCCCACATTAAACCCGGAACTGACTGATGGCAATATGGCTGAAAGGAACATTAATGTTGCAGCTACATCCTCAGCGTTTCATGGTAAATTAACCCCTTGTTTCATATGGCATGCTGCTGCAGTTTCCTAGCGTGTCCAAGCAGTTTTGTAGTTAATTCTCTGTATTGTAGATGAATATGATCCATGAACCTGTTTCTTTCAGGAATTGCTAATACCAGAGACAGAACATTGCTGAATGTAAGACAGTAGTGAAGCACCTCAAGTTGCTAATTGAACTCCTGAACGAGGGATATTTTGGCTGGTGGAGGAAACTTTTTTACTGATCAGCACCTACAGTATGTGATTCAACAGATGTGGCAGGTCACTTCATGTCCATTCGTTTGTCTTTCACATTATGATTTACTTTGCATTTGTTGATGAAAAATGTAAAGATCATCAATTCAGGTACATTAATTCACATTTACTTCACACATTTATTGACATGTCACCAAATGAGCTGCATTTCGGTAACACAAAGGTTCATTTCAGACCCATTCATCAGCCTCTCAATAAGCAGATCAGTACCTATTGTAAAGGAAATATCAAGCTTGTTTGCTTGTTGCTGCATTACCCAGTTATATGTAAGCCTATACTGTATGTATAAATGTATGGATGCATAGCATGTCATATTTACAACGTAGAAAAAACTGACTGCACAAATTACTGTAGAGGAAGGTCAGTAAAATGCCAGCAATATATCTAGTTTGTCAAATTGCAGATGCAAAATGATTTTGGTTGCATTTCTCTTTACCATGTTACACACCGCTTACTTCTGCAAAAACACATCATTTCATATTTCCACTGGAATAGATGCTGTTCTCCTGACACAGGTCTGAGCCTAGAATCCAGCTAATTTCATGGCACATCGATTAAAGGTATGAGGTAAACGTGAATTAATGTTCCTTAATTGATGATATATTAAGTCTGAACTAGTCACAGAAAGCCACAGTGACTTGATCATTTGTGAATGGTGAATAACAGGAACTCATTATACATCTTGCAGTAACTCGTGCATCATGAACCATGATTTAGTTCTAAACATTACCCAAGCTTATGATTTGTAGCCTTAATGTAAAGTGTTACCAAAACTACAAACCAGATTCTATTTGTTTCACCTCCTTTTTGAGCACCATTACTTATCTTAAGGGAAGCACTACTACTGAGTACTACTAGTACTGGCTCACAAATAATGACACTTTGTTACTGACCCCAACAGTCGTTGACATTACAGGTGGGTGCGGAACTCTGGGAACCACACAGCTTTTGGAGATAAAACTGAAATGTCCCTGACGAACAATGTGTGGTGAGTGAGTTGCTAATTTGTTAAAGCAAACCCAGATCTAGTGTTTTTCAGGTCATCGTGTGCCTGTTGAGTTTTCGGCTATTTTGCGGGAAAGTCAACATCTCTTCAACAACAAATAAAGGATTCCTCTATGCCACAGACAGGCCAGAGAATTTGGGAAGTGTTAAGAGACAGACCGGCATTTTTGGTTTTGGTTTTTTAATGGGGTTTGTTGACAATACAAAATTCAACTTACAATCATTCCAGCAATTGTGTGATTTCCAATAATGTTAAAAGACAACATTCATTCATTTTCTACCGCTTAGTCCCTGAACGGGGTCACGGGGGGGCTGGAGCCAATCCCAGCCGGCAATCGGGCGAAGGCGGGGGACACCCTGGACAGGTCGCCAATCCATCGCAGGGCTAACACAGAGACGAACAACCACACACACACACACACGCACTCCTATGGGCAATTTAGAGACACCAATCAACCTAAGCTGCATGTCTTTGGACTGTGGGAGGAAGCCGGAGTACCCGGAGAGAACCCACGCAAGCACGGGGAGAACATGCAAACTCCACACAGGGCGGGGCCCAAACCCAGATCCTTCTCGCTGTGAGGCAACGGTGCTAACCACTGCGTCAACGTGCTGACAACATATTGTTTTTAAATTACCAAACCATTCAACATTAACAGAAAGTCTAATTTGGAAGCAACTGACATTAAAATCCAATGAAATATTCAGAGCTTTTCCAGCTTTTTTAAACAATCTTTTAGCAGTAATGGCTAAATAACTGCCAAACTCTGATGTGTATAATTACTCCAGATTTCTAATTTGTATGATATTTTGCCAAGTTCAATCGAGCCAACATGTCTGGGTCTTACCGCACAATGGGGAGCTTTGTAAAGGGCACTGGGGGCAGCTTCAGGCCATCAGGAAGGGTGACGACTTCCATTCCACCTGGACACTTGGCCGTGTAGTTCTCCAGACTCTGGGTCACTTCCTTCTTCTCTATAAATGCAGAAGCATATGACAGCAGGAAACTATGAGCACATGGCTGGAGTACATGATAAAAAAATAAATAAAAAATAAAAAATCTAAAGATGCAAATCAGGCAGCCAGCAATTATGATGTAACAAAATTCCCTTTACCTGTGTGTGGGGAACTTTAATTGGAGCACTATTGCTGCCATAGAGCTTTCATCTTTGTGCGCGATATAAATTAACCAGACATTAGTGACCTTTGAGGTGTTGCTCTGCAAAAAAGGACACTAGTCTTCAAGAAAAAGTTTTATTGTACCATCAATACCTTTTGAGGGAACATTACTGCTTATGCTCTGTGAGTTTCAAAAGTGCCCATCAATGGGAAAAGAACATTTACTTGCAAACATTACACAGATTTATACCCCTTCATAGAAATACATTAGGTCTTATTATAGACTATTTGTATTAATGAAAGTGGTCCATTGCTTCACTGCACCGTAACAATACTGGAAAACAGACTACATCCTTATTGCATAATACAAGAGATGAAACAAGATACTTGTACTAACAGCCAAAAGGAAGAGTCTCTGGCTTTTTATGTCTCCTAGCAACAGTAAAAGCTGTCCTTATAAATATGTTAATGTGTACACAAACTACTAACCTACAGACTAGAAGCCAGAAATCCACCACTTGGAGAGTGAAGACAAAAAGGAATGAAATGACAGAAGAAAGGTTAGAGAAGGAAGAGTAGGAAAAGGAGCAGATAACATGAGATAGAGATGGAGAGAGGAAGGAATCGGAGGGAGAAGGAAGAAGCACAGCAGTAATAAAAGAGCCAGAGATGAATAGAGTGATAGCTCAGTTGTCCTCCTGGCTCACAGCTTTCATGATTGATGACATATTTGTCCTTTTTTTTTTTGCTTGTTTGCCATGTCTGAGTGTTCACAGCAGCCGTATGTTTAGGGGCCACTCCAGGGCACAAAGCTGAACAGTGAGTGTGTGCTCACAGAAAAAAAAAAACCCATTTCTGTGGTAATGTTGATTCTGTACCCATAAGTGTTTTGCCCAAAATAGAACAGAACAGTGACCTAGCACAGTTTCAATTAGTTCTTCCGATGTGATTAATAAAAACAGTGTGGATACTTCAAAGTATAACTCGGCATCAATTTAAATGTGTCTCACTGAATTTAGGATCAATAAAATGAAAACACCGTTAAAACACATCAGACTGCTGTGATTATTGTTTGGTGAAGCTAACGGCTATCATGACATTTCAGTGTCTTTGGTGACTTGGCAGTAAATAGCAGAACCAGCTTTAAAACACATCATTACCCCCCCCCCCTTTGTTTTTGTGTATTGTTTACATCTATTTATACTGCTTTTCCTGCATTGTTTGCACTGGTTGTTGATGTTAATACTGCTATTTTGTTATATTACACAGCCTTAAGCTGGTCTACTGTTTGCACATTAAGAACCAATGTACCTGAGTCAAATTCCTCGTGTGTCCAACACACCTGGCCAATAAAATGATTCTGATTCTGATTAAATAGCTGTGGAGAATGTGTTGGCAAGCATTTGCCGATTTCCACATCCAGCAGCCGGGAAGCCAACTTAGCATTCAGCAGTTTTAGAATCTCTGGCTCCTTAGCTGTTAAATTCCCCACTTGATTGACAGGCTAGTCACCAATTGATGAATAACAATGATCTAAATGAAGCTAAAATGCTCCACAGGACTGAGGGCAACTACAAAGTTGGTTCATAATCCTCTGTGCAATCGTTATGGTGACAACTCGGACATTACAAATACTGGCTATTCCTTTATTCAGCTTTTAAGGAAAAATATACATTTTGAACAAAAATAGTTTTATTATGGTTAACTTATAATGCATGACATGTTGTTGGTATGCAGTGGGCCTGCTTTCAAAGGGCCAGGTATTGTGATCACAAACAGTCTTGTCTTATTTACTGAAGTGATGAAGCGTACTGGCATTGCCAGTCAGGACAGCTGCAACCTAGAGAACCCATGGAAATGAGTGCAGATGACAGGATTTCAGGATAAGACCCAATCAAATGATTAATTGTTAATAAAAAAGTAACGTAAGTAACTGTCAATAAAACCTACAGACTGAAGAAAAACAGAGCCCTGTTTTATGATCATACTTGACCAAGTACAACAGCAAAGGTCCTGACACACTGAAGCAACAGTCATTGAGCATCTGTAGCTGACTATTGCCTCAGATCTTTGTTGTGCCTGGCACTGAACCTTGATTTATGGTTCTATGTTGAATCTACACAAAGCCTATCCCACAGCGAGCATTTATACTGTGTCGACCTTCAATTACACAGCTAAAATGTTAGCTGGCGGTGGGGTTTTGTTCCACTGTGCTGCATTTCTTTGTCACATTCTAACAGTAGCAACTGACACATGTTGGAGTTTACCGAAATTACTGCAAGGCCAATAAGAGAGAAGACATTGGAGTAGGTGGTCTGTACAACCAATGAACCACCTGAGGCGGAATGAGGGGGGATTTTCTGTGCTTGTTTGGACATAAACAAGGAAATGCGATTGCAACCAATCACAGTTGTTGCGGTCTGCATTGCCATGACGTACAGGTACATTTCTTGAGAGATGACACGTCAGGCTACGGTGTAGGGTACAAGGCTACGCCTTACCCATGCCGTACCTACAGTGCAGACTCAACACAGAAAGATAAATCAAGCTTCAGTTGACAGAGAATTATCTGATCAGCTACGCCTCCAGCACAATCTCTTACATTTCATCTCTACGTTTCTCAATGCTAACAATTCCAAAGCATGACAAAGCCAAAAAACAACAACAACAACAACAACAAAAAAAAACTTATGGAGCATAAAACAAAACCCTCTAAATAAATTAACAGCAGCATGAAAAATGGCAGGGTAGTTTGACTTGTTTGTCTTTTGGCAACACCTTCAGGATTACAAATTCTGACTACTAAGCAGCTCTCATATGTATGTCAGTGGTCAGCTGGGGGCCGGCTAGAGTGTCCATAGTGTGCTGAATCACATTTTTCACCAAAAGCAAAACATTTATTAAGTTTTCCTTTGTTGATGCTCCAGGAGGTCAGATTTCTGTCACAGCCCTCAGATAACCAAACCCCAGGAGAAAAACTATTTCTTTACTTGTTTCTCCCCCCGCTTCTCCCCCAGCATCCTGCCCAGACAAACACAACAATGTGCATTACTAGCCTGACAGCTGGAACACACTGTCCAGATGAGCAAAGAAACATTTTTACATTCAACAAAAAGGAGGGAGAAAAGGTGCAGCTCTTAACACTTCACACAGTTCCCCAAACAAAAGGATCTCATCTCGTGTTAACAGTAAAGAGGAAGAATAACAAAAAAGGCAGCTTGGGGAAAACTTTGCACTGCTCTGAAACTGTGTACACCATCTTGTTGTATGACAAAAGAGTAGGAGCGAAACACACTTGAAATTTTCACCTGTTAAATCTGCCTTCATCTAACAGGCTTGTTTGCAGTTCTACTTTCCTGGCAACCTCCTCATTAACACTGCTGGATGTGACCGAACATTCATTTCTGAACAAACAGTGAAACAGCCTAATGCTCGCATCTTACAAATTAGTCTGACAGTAATGAGAGGCCTCAAGTATTCTGACAGTATCTTTTGTACTTAGCCATATTAATGCCGCCTGATTTGTCTGGACAGATCTAACATAATTCAGAAAGCAGCTGGTGTCGTTGGAGTCAACCAAGTTCATTTGGAAACAGTTGTACAAGGTGAAGCAGCACTAAAATGAATAAAATATGAGGAGAGTTAGGCTGAGGGACGATCTGTGAAGGGCAAATAATGTATTGATTCTTTTTTTATTTAGAAGATGCACCATAACCACAGTCTTTTAACCATGCCATGAAAGTGAAAATCTAAGGTGAAAAAAGAACCTTATACTGTATATGCTGGCTAATCTGTGAAACAGAAAAAGTACTTCTTTTTTTTTACTACTACCACCACTGTAAATTTCAAAAAGAAGGGAACTCAAACCATACAAAACTTTCATGTTGAAATAGGTGGTGCCCAAAAGTAAAATACTTCAGTATTTCATTAGTGGTTCTTTGTCATAATCAGGTATTCCACCGAATATAAACTTCAGACTATATTTTGCTCATACAAAGCACAAAATACAATCATACAATTACAAAACTGAGTATAGACTCAAAGGCCCACAGGGCACAGTCACATCAAACAGAAGGATATCAACTGGCCATTTAATTTTTCAATGGAGGAAGCTGATGTCAGACTAAACAACAGAGTGGTAGCAAAATTGCAATTCAGGATATAATAGCTGATGTTGGCTGTATGCAGTTTTTTTTTCCCCAACTATTTTTCAAGTTTATAGCCAGGTCCTGCAGTGGCACTCAATCATTCTCCTTTTTTTTTTTTTTAAAACAAAATCATTTTATGAAATAAAACACTCAGCAGTACAGTTCAGGGCTCCCTGGGATTTCTCTAAATGCTGTGCTTGGAGACTTATCATTCCTAGACACTATTTTATAGACCCGTCTAGGAAGAAGTGAGACTACAGCTTCAAAGACAGTGCAAACAATAAAAACACTTTGAAAGGGAGATTTATTCAATTATATTGTGATATAAAAATTACTGACAAAACCTGTCAACAGTTTTTGAATAATTTTGATATATCTTCCAGAAGGAAGATATGTCCAGCTAAAAGCTAGAAATATAAATCATCAAAACAAACATTGTAGTTTTAAAAAAAAAAGGCTAGAAACGGAGAGACTGAGATGGTAACATTAATCTTTCTGGTATACTATGATGTTCACTATTTAAAGTAGACAATATCAAACTTAGCTCTATTTTTGTGAGTGTATTAGAACTGTTGCATACTCTATACTGGTACAACGAGCAGACTTTCTCCTGACTAAATATCATGAGTAATGGACTATTAAAGTAGCTGAAAAGGGGCAACATTGTTGAATATTAAAAAAAAGAAAGAAGTGAAACAAATGTTTACG